AAGGATGACCATCTATAAAAAAACGGGAGAATCCAAGGTGAAAAATACGCAGAACTTTCTTGGTGTCCTTCCATTCGTTTCATTATCTTTATTGACTTAAGCATCGGAGTGCCTTCGATCGAAGCACTTCGATCTTGGGCAATTTGTTCGTTTTGCAGGAGGAGAAAGACCGGAAGATCAAGTTCAGAAACACATCAATATTTCAATTCCAGAAGAAGGTAATTCTTGATTTTTTGCCTCTTACATATTTAATATTCTTACAAATTCTATATTTACTCATTTTTGGCTATATATTTCATAATTTTTGAACCAAAGGAAGCTCCAACAAATCATACCAATACTCTAAGGAATTAATTTTAGTTTGCTAATTTTAACAGATTTGATATGATATTTTTTTTGTTCTAGTACCCAACTTGTTTGACCTAATTAAGAATATCCAAAAATATATATATAAAACATATATAACTAAAAAAATATATATCAGGGTTATCCTAAACCCCTCCTCTATTCGCCATTGCTAGAGAGAGAGAGAGTGAAGAGTGAGAAAAGAAGAGAACTTTTTTTTGTTCTAGTACCCAACTTGTTTGACCCACTTAATTTTTTTTTCATAAATCATTACAGAAGGCCCAATTAAGAATATTCAAAAAAAATATATAAAATATATATAACTAAAAAAATATATATCAGGGTTATCCTAAACCCCTCATCTATTCGCCATTGCCACAGAGAGAGAGAGAGAGAGAGAGAGAGAGAGAGAGTGTGTGTGTGTGTGTGTGTGTGAAGAGTGAGAAAATGAAGGTAAAATTTAATCTGAATGATTTTCAGAGAGATGTTGGTAACCGTTGGTTGAGTTTATTTGAGAGCGTCAGATAAACTTATTAAAGTCTTTCCTTACAAGTTATTACAAAATTATTAATTTATAAGAATATATTAGCGTTGGATTTTCTTAATAGATAAAAAAAATAGTCTTGAATTTTTGATTCAAGATATGTGTAAGACATGTTAGTTTAAGATAATTAATTAAATAAATAAAATTAAAATTAAGTATATTCAATAAAAATGTGTTGAGTAGTGCCCTTGTTTTTTTTATTTGTTAAATTGATGAGTTTTTTCTTTAATTAAAATTTTATTATTATGTCTTATAAAAATTCAAATTGTTAAACTACACAGATGATATTAATGACAAATTTAACTCATTTAATTATAATGTTAATGAATGTCATGCGTTCAAAGATCAGTCGTAATCGTTGACCGATTGAGGGAAAAATATTATGAAAAAAATAGTAATTTATTGACCTTTGAATAAATGAATTTGATATCATAGGATGTGTCCAAAATTAGCCGTAATCGTTAACCGGTTGAGGGAGACTATTAAGGAAAAAAAATAATTTCTTGACCGTTTGATGAATAAATTTGAGACAGTATGATGAGCTTGTTGAAGTCACCATATTTTATATTATAGATGTTTAACATGATCTTGTGGATCTTGACAAGGGATGTTTAGGTCTCGCAAGAGATTGAATTTTGAATTCGATTTTGAATTTTAATAGATCAAATATTAGAGATTGATATTTTTAAATAATTATATGAAACTGAATTCAAACCCAACGTGTAATCCTTCATGGAACTGGATATCAATAATTTACACTATGATTGTGATCCTAAATTTAATCCTAATAAAGAATAAAATTTAGTTATTATTTATTAAAATTGAGTTAAAAAGGCAGCTCTAATTTGTTAAATTTAGCTTTTAGGGTTATTTGCAACGAATTTTGATTTTAGACAAAACGGGATATGAACAATGAAAGTAAAATCCGACAAATGGTCAAGTTTGGATTTGGATTTGGATTGACAAATCAGATTTGAGTCCAGATCAATTGAAATCTAATTCAAATTCAATTTGTTTGCAAATCTATGCATAGGTAGATAGTCGTGTGTGAGTGTTAGCGCAAAATGAAAGGCATATGTTACTTAGACGAGGTTCCAAATTTTATTTTGTAAGTAGCATGATACATGTAACTTGGGAATAGTTTTAGGGGAAATCAGATTTTGCTCCCTAAAAGATATAAAATTTTTTAGTTTATCTCATAAATAATTAATTTGTTTACATTGCCCCCTCAAAAAAATAAAGACGTTACAATGTAGTCCACCGTCTTATTTTTCGTTTGGTCGTCCATTTGTTTTATATCAAATTAACCAATTAGGAATCACAAAATTAACCAAATTAGGAATCACAAAATAGACAGACGACTAAATAAAAATAAGATCGTGGACCACATTACAACATTTTATTTCTTTGAAGGGGTAATGTAAAACATATAATTTTTTAGGGGACAAATTAAAATTTTTTGTACCTTTCAAGAGTAATATGAGATTTACTCATGGTTATATACACTCATTTTTTTTGTATTATTAAGTTGCATGTCTATAAAACATGTGATTAGAACGATTCGTCATTATAATACACTTACCTCTACCTTTTATTCATGTAGAAAATCATATCCCCAAAGTTTTCCTTAATTAATTTCCATGGCCTTATTTGCCTTACCATTCCATTTTCCACCTAATTAAGCTGTATTGTCTTTGCTTTCCAACACTGAAAAACAAACCCACTAATATCCTTCTTTTGCATTAACATTTGTTGGTCCATTTAACATCACATTTGCACTTAAAAATGCTCAAACATTGTAGCTGGCAAAATAAAGCCAAAACATACCTACCAAAGCAAAGGAGACATTTTGTAAGGGTGTGATAATGCTAGGCAAAGAAGAATAACTAGACTTTCCAGACAATTTGTATGGTGTGTCTTCAGTATTTAAGGCAACTAAAAAAGTCTTGGGACATGGTTGTTTAATACCTATTCAATTATAATGTTTTGGACCATATTTTTGTGCACCCTGTCAACAGTGAATGCTTTGAACCATTACCCCTTATGGTTGGTTCTTAGTAAGGGTGTTCACTCTACCCTACGGGTAGGAAATATACTCTTCCGTCTTCTTACCCGATATTTTGCAGAAGAGTTTTTTTTTGGCCTACCCTACCCGACTGCCTACCCGATTAATCGGGTAGGAAGTCGGGTAAACATTTTTGTAACAATTAATTTTTAAATTATTTTAACAATTTAATTAAATAACATGCACCAATTTAACAACACAATAAATCAATTAACACTAAAATATAAAACAACTACAACAAAATTTTTAATAAAACACAAGAAAGTATGAACATCAATCCACCATAATTGTTACACAAATACAATAACAATTAATTTAACTTTAAACTTTAAATCATATGAAATACATTAAAATCATAATTGCTCCGTCTGTGGTTAGGGTTTAGGGTTTTTTTTAGTTCATATATATATATATATATATATATATATATATATATATTAAAAAATTATTGCAGATAGGGTAAGGTAGGAATGCAGAAATGGATGACTATTCCGCATTCCTACCCAAAAATTGTCGGAAGACCAAAAACTCTTTCGTATTTCTACCTGATTTTTACAGCTAACAGTTCAATAGGGTAGGGTAGGATCAGATAGGGTAGAAACTTGCGTGTGATCAGAAATTTGAACACCCCTAATTCCTAGTTGCTTTCAATTAGGCATTTCACCATTTCGGATTAGAATAAGATTTTGGTCGATCTAAATCTAAATCTAATTTAAAAGCACTTTTTTGATCAATTGATGATTTTTCATTTTTATTAGTCAATATTTGAATCCACTAAGGATAAAAAATTTGATCCAAAAATTAAATCCGGTCCGAATACTAAAACTAACTGTTGTTGGCAAATTGACACCTTAAATTTTAACTATATTTTTTTAAATAGTCACCAATTTAAGCATATAAAAAATAAAAAATCTATGTATACGTAATTCAGATCAGATCCATTGATAGGCGTAATTTCAGTCCAAACATTTCTAGGGGTCCAACTTCATAGGTCAACAAATGCATTAATCTGGTGTTCAAGAATGTCTTGGTGGAAATACACACACATGTATACATGTATGTTTTATATGCAACTTGTTACATATTTCATGTAATTACACATGTTATGTTGTAGATGAAGGGGGACGGGGTCACAATAAGCTGTGTCATGTTGGACCCAGATCATCTCCTTTTAGAGTGTTAGTAGGCCATACATACAGAAGGAGAGAAGAGTTTCATATGCAAAAGTTGTTGAAGATGGTTTCACCCCCTGCAATCCCAGCAATTAGTAATAGATATTGAATTCTGAGAAGAAATTCTTTCTAGATGTTGCAAACTGAAGCTTTCAAAACCCCCAACACACACCTAATTTGAATTGGTGCAGGAACAACCTTTGAACAAGTCAAGGACAATCGGGTTGACAACAAACCAGAAAGTATGTACTATTAATTAAGGGATCAAGAATAACAGTAAGGTGCTAAAAACAAACAAAATATTATTTCATCCATTCTACCAAACACGAGCATAGACTCCAATTACTCTGTCGAGTGCAACATCATGTGTTTTACAAGAGTCCAATTACTCTTACCGGTCTGTCATCCTTCATCCCACTCTTACAAGAGTCCAATCTTTCATCATGAAGTATGGTAACCCGATGAATACAAGTATTTATATATATCAATATGCACATTTTTTTTATTAATTATAGTAACCCGATGAATTTTACTGTTATTATGAAATTATTTTTTTGTTAAAAAATTATTACCATACTGTACCTTGAAATAGCAGAGACGAGGACATCCACAACAATGTTGGACACCTCTGTAGAGATGAAAATAGCAATTCATGTGGGAGACATATCCATAATATATATATATATATACAGCAATTTGCTATGTATATCTACCTAAATCAATATTATCTCTGCGCTGGATTTTTGGAATATATGAATCAAACATATCAAGTTGCAACAACTGTATGTATGTTTGTATGTATGTATGTATATATGTACATATTTGTACGCGTGAATCTAAACCTCCATGTCCCCACACCACCAAGTCCTACTCCTCTCCCTCTCTTTCTCTCTCTCTCTCTCTCACACACACACACACACACATGCCCTTCCTTAAAACCCCAAATTGAGCTCCTCCAATCGATCAAAAACCCTACAATAACTCAAACAATAATCCAAAAACCACCAAGATGTCAAACCACAACCGCTCTTCTCCTTTACCATATTTCTTCCGCACCACCCCCAAGTCCAACAACACCTCCTCCTCCTCCCTCGCCACCAAACACCACTCCAAGGAGGCGCCACCACACTTCTCCGGCAATCCTAACCTCACCACCTGCCTATACAACACTGATTTAGGCCTATTTGCCCTCACATGGTCTCGCAATCTTTGCAGCCGCTCTCTCCACCTCCACTTCCTCCTCGACCACCCCTCCGCCTCCGCCTCCAATAATCACCACAACAACCCCTCGTTTCCTTCTCTCTCCACACCCTCTTTCCATCTCCACATCAAACCCTTCTTTTTCTGGAACAAACATGGTTCCAAAAATATCAGTACCAACAACACCACAACCAAAAGCAATATTCAAATCTATTGGGACCTCTCAAGAGCCAAATTTGGATCCGGACCAGAACCCCAATCCGGATACTTCATCGCTGTCGTTATCGCCGGAGTAATGATCCTTCTCGTCGGCGACTCTCCCAAAGAAGCTTATTCGAAAACTAGAGCTTCAACTCCTCAAAGAAATCAAGTTACGGTTCTTAGAAGAGAACATGTGTACGGAAACAAACTGTACACTACAAAGGCTAGTTTTGCAGGGAAGGAGAGAGAAATATCAATTGATTGTAGACATGGTGAAGACCCAAGATTATACTTCAATGTTGATAACAAAACGGTATTGCGGGTTAAGCATTTGAAGTGGAAATTTAGAGGAAATGAGAGGATCGAAGTTGATGGAGTTCATATACAGGTCTCATGGGATGTGCACAACTGGTTATTTGAAGATGATGAAGATGGGTATGCTTTGTTCATGTTCAGGTTTGAGAGACTAGGGTTTGATGATGAAGATCAGTACTTTAACAATTTGAATGATAAGAATGGGATGATTCTGTTGTCACAACAGTCATGTGGGTTTGAATTTGAGACGAAGAAGATGAAGAAGGGCTTGTTGAGGACAACTAGAAGCTCCTCTTCGTCGTCGTTGTCGTCGGCTTCTTCGAGCTGTAGCTCTGTGATGGAGTGGGCAAGTGTGGAAGAGAATGAGTTGAAGGGGCCTTCTGGGTTTTCTCTGCTGGTTTATGCTTGGAAGAGCTGAAGATTATCAAGTTCTTATCTGGGTTTGTTTTCTCTAATTTGGTAGCTATATTTATTTTCTCACTAACCCATTAATTTGTTCATGAACATAACAAAATAATTCGATGTACAAGCACGAAATTGAACTACAGCTCATAACTTATAGATCTAACAACCACTATTTCTTTTCCAAGACCAAGAGGAAAGAAAAAGAATAAATCATCTGAATATGTAACGTAAATCTTTTGAATTTGATTCAATATATCTTTGATCTTTTCAACACTTTTGTGGTTTCTTTGTAACCCACCAATGGCTTTGATGTTGCATTTGCTAGTGGAATTGAAGTAATTGGAACATGTTTTTGTGAAAAATTAATTCAAGCTTCAAATTAATTTTCTGTAGAAGAACTCAAACACCCACTTTCATGGTGTGTCAAAACACCCGATCCACATAAAGCATTAGACAATCTGAATAGTTTCAATGCAAAAGTTGAAGAGTCGTAAAGTAATAGTGGGATTGTAATTTTTATATGAAAAGTTTACATTTTGTTTACAATCACAAGTAATTTATATATATAATCTATGCATAAGCATTTTGTATATGCAAAATATATTCTCTCCGGTCTCTCTCCTCGTGATTCCATGTTCATCTCTTTTCATCCTGACTGTGATGAGTCTGGCATGACTTGTCTGAATGTGATGGGAAAAGTTTTTGTTTTTGGGAGATTCCATAGCAGGCGACCAAAGTACAATTTAGGCATGTGAGGTTGGGTCTTTCTTTTGATCTGTGTCTCTATCATGGTTTCCTTTGCACAACCCTAAGCTAATTTGTATAATCTTAACCGTTAATTAGGTGGACTATACCTTGGATCCATCAATTGACTGCTACATATACGGTTAATAGAAGTTGGGGCCACTGTTATAGCGTAGGAGAGAGCAGTACATGATGGAAAACGGCACAGAAAAGGAAGAGAAATAGCTTAGGGTAGTGTGTTTGTATGTGTAAAGGTGGAAAGTTCGTCGAGTTATGTTTGACCTCTGCGCACAAGTCAGTCAGTCTCGTGAACCAAAAGTAACGAATCTATTTCACATTGTTTTACACGAATGGCTAAAATAACCTTTGATTTACTTGGACGATGTTGCCATTGTTAGATTTTAACTTTGTGCAGAAATTAGGGCTTTTTTTATTTATATTTTATATCAATAATACTACGGTAAATTACATTATTACAGAGACACTCCCTCTACTATCTTAGATATCACTGACATCTTTTATTGTTTATTTACCCATGTCACAAAATACTCCTATCGTTAGCTCCGTTACTAGTAATGTCAAAAAGTCATTACATTGGTAGTTTTTTATAATTCTCTACGCCATGGCCACTCCACCCTCAACCCGACACACTCTTTCCTTGCCCCTTTCTTTTCTCTCTTGGATCTGGGAATGCAATACCACTAAAAATCAAACCTACAGCAGAGTAACATGCAAATGCCAAGCCAAAACAAATCAACTCAATTAAAACCTTGGACCAAAAGAACTCAAACCCACATCATAGAAGCACACCACAATCACAGAAGAACACAACTACCCAAGTTAGAGAAACAAACTACAACTGAACCACAACCAAATTCAATTGCTTCAAAACAACAAAATTCCACAACTGATACAAAAAACAACATACCAACAAACATTGAGACCCACATATTTGTGACAAAGCTTTTCAGATCACTTTTCACAACACTAATCTTTGCTCAAATCCACCAGCAATTGGAGTGGCGGTTGGCTTTAGAGAGAGAATTGGAGTGAAAATCAAAATCGAAACTTACTGTGAAGATTCCACACATGTGTCTCGATGGCATGTGTGCGATGGTAGAGGTGGTGGCGATCGGGTAGTGGGCCGGTGGTAATGGGTTGATGAAAAGGGGTCATCGGGTATAAAATGATTCAAACAAGGGTATGCAAGTATATTTATTTGTATGTGTGTGGTTACCGTGATGGTGGTCGGAGAATTGAATAATGGTATAAGGGTTGGTGGTGGTTGAAGTTGGAAGACCATATGTGGAGGAGCCACCATTTGGAGAGGACGGAGGAACATCGCAGCGATAGATAGCGTGGGAGATGAATTATATGTGTTGTGTGTGTGTGTGTGTGTGAGAGAGAGAAAGACAGATAGAAAGAATAAGGGAGGAGCTGTGTGTAAGGATAAATAATTTATATATGAGAGGTTGATAGGTAAAAAATGATGTCCCACAAGTGTAATTATGAAAAATTGTATTATGTGTTCCCTTTACGTAGGGATAAGATTAGATAGGGGGTGTCAGTGTAATTTTAAAAAATTAAGGTAGAGTCTTTGTAGTTAAACCAATCCATGACGGGTGTTAATGTAATTTATCCATAATACTATTCATGCATAATTCACAATCTAATTTTGGATATTAAACTTGCAATATCAATATTTTAAATAAAAAAATCTTATTTATTTATTATGCTATTAAAGTTAAGATGAAGATAGAGAAAATAAAAAAGAGGCAGATGTAAATTAATAGGATTGTTTAACATTGAAAAATGTGTTAATTAAGTTATTTGATAGTAGAGGTCGTGCAAGGAAGATGATAGTTTTAAGTGAGAAAAAAATTGGAAATGAATTTTATACTATTAGATCAAAGTAAGATCAATCTTAGTCGTTGTTGTGCTTCTATAAATTGAGAATTTAGTTTTCTAATTATAATTTCGATGGTTCGTTGGTCGTAATCTTAATCTATACTTCTATATTATATTATATAGTGAACAAATTGAGTGGGAGACACCTTACCTTCCTAAAATTTATTTGAATGCATTCAATCCAAACATGTGGCATACCATCCCCCCACTAACTAATAACATCTCATTTAAATATTTTAAAAAAAATACTTTCTATCACTCCAAGTTTTTATTATTATTTGTTTAACTTCTTTGCTCATTAAATGGTGAGGTAAGAGAAAAGAGAAGGTAGTGAAAAGGGTAATCGTCGCTAGGATTAAATAAGTTGAGTGTTGTCTAATGACGACAATAATATATCTTATCAGCAATTCTCAACAATAAATGTAGTTCAAATCCATTACTATTTGTGAATGAAATACTACAAAAGCTAATTTTCAATTTCTTTTTCGACTAATCCATTAAATCTAATTTAAAAATGAATGGGTGTTTACATTTGATACCCTGTCCAAATCCTAATAAGATTAACCCTTGTTAGGCTTGCTGTTAGATTTTCAACTGCTGGTTAGAAAGCTAACAACATGGACCGATGGGTTAACTAACTTTCATCTAATTCCTCACCACATAATGTCTAAAAGAAACCGCATATGCTTGAAAAAAATAAAATTATTATTTAGATTTAATTTATTAATCTAATCACTTTCTACTATTAGGTTGACTAAGATGCAATAAGATAAATAAATTAAATTTAAATAATATTTTTTTAAATAAGGTAGCATATCAGATCAAAAGAAAAGGAGTAAGTGGCATTTACTCTTTGAAAACTGGTATGAACTCTCTTATCATCTAAAAGCAAAAATGAACACTCAATTTCGCAACAATAGGATAACGCCTATAAATCCAAGTGAAATCTATTGTATTCTAGCGTGTCCTCTACGGCTCTACAAACCACTAAAAGGGTAACTTAACAAGGAGCAAATTGAGTTACTCTATTGTTGAAGTGAATCTGAATCTAGCTATAATTACTTATGTATAACAATTTATTAGGTGTGAATAATTGTAAAGAGCACAAAGCACTGTAAGTTTCCATCAAACACTGCTTCTTCTTTCAATGCAAAAGCACTGAAGTTTCCATTGGAGAAGTTTCTAACAATGGTCTGAACAGAAGCATATTCAAATAAGCAGAAATCAATCACCAAGTAGGGTGGTATAGTGGGGTACCGGCTTTACTTCTCGTTTTGAGATTTGAAGTTCGAGTTTTGGAGTTTCCATTGGGGATTGGTGGTTGGCCGCTATGCTAGCCTAGTTAGGTCTGGTCCCGAGAGGGTGTTCCAGGCGCGATCAGAGGCCTTATGATCCCACTGTTAAAGGTCTATCGGGGTGGTCGCTGGACACTCTTTCTTGTCCCCACCCCTTTTATTTATTTAAATATCAAAAAAAAGAAGAAGCAGAAATCTTAAAAATGGACNAAGGTCTATCGGGGTGGTCGCTGGACACTCTTTCTTGTCCCCACCCCTTTTATTTATTTAAATATCAAAAAAAAGAAGAAGCAGAAATCTTAAAAATGGACAGAGACGATGCATCTCTAAACATAGTCAAAATTTAGATAAGTTTCAAACATTACTTGTAATATGGGCTAACCTCTCAGGTGATGTATAGATTTGACTAGCTACATATACTTTGAATTGTACGACAAATTCCAGGAATTGAGTGGTTGATGGGTTATTAGGTCTTCATCACAGCTGGCTGGTAATATATGACTTGGTTTGGCTCAGGTTCATTAGCTTGACCTTCCAATCATATTGATGGTTGCTTCTTTTGCCATTTATATGGGTGCCAATATAGCTATGTTTAGCCCTCATGTGTTTGGGCAATTTGAAGGATGTTTCCTTTGAACAAATAATTCCACCCACTAATTGTTGATAGATTGGCAAGGGTCATTGTCTGACGCAATGGTAAAGGTGTCGGACTAACAATCGTAAGACTTTATAATTTTGAAGAGGAAGACTAGGTTTTTTTTTTTTTTGTTGTAGTTAAGATACTCGATAAATCATTATTACAATTGTTATTTAACTACTCTAATTTAAAATCATGCATATATGTAACATAATAGAAAGCATTCACTAAAGAGTAAAGAGAAACTCGAATGAAGGAACAATAGAAACCCAAAGAGAGGAATGTAAGAATTAAACAAATGATCATTACCTGTGGCTAGGTTTGACTGATATTCATCCAATGATTAGCACAATCTTAGAAGAATCAAGGGTAACTAACTAAATTAGAGCCAATTGGTTCACTTTATTAGAAATAGAAATAGTGTCAACAACTCGGTATATAAAAAATTATCCATCCATCCCAATAACCTCGATTATTAAGCTTAGTCCACGTCAATCATTAGTATTGAGATTGGTGGTCCTCCTTTAGGCTTGAAACCTTGGGTGTGATTTATAGGGGGTAGTTGTTTCATTATTATTTGTACGAGATTCTTATCACGCCATTAGGCATATGATCATATATCATATGTTTATGGGTAGGTACAAAAGTCAAACCTAATTTGTGTAACTTGTCATACTATACCGAGCAATGATAGTTGCATTGTGTCCATCCTGCCTTATATATGAATTTTTAGGGGGTTGATTGATCCATGCTACTATTTATTCATAGGTCAAGCTTAATTGACTTCAACTAGAAGAAATTAAGCATCACCACTACTTGTAAATTTAGAGGAAGGGAAGCAAATGAACCAAATTGAGCTTGTATAGCTTTGCTTATTTTTTTTTATAAAAGATCGTACCAAGTGCACAAGACTCTCGTCTGATTTAGGAGAGATAAGAAAAAATTAGTATTATCTCTCTGCTAGCCCTATATTATGTGCATAAAATGTAATTCGTCTACCAAATGTCTTCAAAACCCTCAAAGTTCAACATTAGAAGCTGAGTTGGAAGATGCTGGGAATATCATGGCGCCCATTGAGTTATGAAGAAGAATGGGACTAATTTACAGTATATGTTGTGATTTTGAAGCACATCACACAATAATGAGATCTAAATTTGTGCAAGTAAAGTTGGGCTTGAGGTTAGCGATTGGCATAATAGCCTCGGCCCCATCTCGCTGCTGGACTTTAAGATTGCAGGTTTGAATTTTGTCGTATACCTCCTTGTAATGGTTTTGACTAAAAAACGAAAAAATTAAAGAGCAATCGGGCTTTATATAGATAAGGACTTGACTGTTTTGCTATCAGCCCAATTCCTCCACTAAATTGTGACTTCAACCAAGCCTGGCACCTTTTGGGTCAGCCCAACTCAGAGCCTTAACAACAAAGCCTTCTGCATTCTGGCCCAAAATTCCAACTTTAGTTAAGTTGTCGTGGGTCGAACTGTTAACAGTTCCATATAGGGTTTTATCTTGCAGGCTGGTCCCATTTGTGGACTTATCGGTGATAAGTTTACTAATGAAACTTGTTTAATATTAAATTTATTTTAATTTTTATTGTTTAAAATATTTCTAGTAGTTATGTTTAATTAAAAAAAATTTAAAAATTAAGAACTCTTAAATTTTTGAGTTTTACTAACGTTTAAATTTTCTCTCTCATATCTATCTATATCCATATATATAATAAAACTATTTATTTCTCTCTCGTATATATAGTAACATTAAAAAAAAATAGTAACATTCAAATACAAAAAAATAGTACCATTTAAATACAAAAAAATAGTGCCATTTAAACACAAAAATATAGTACCATTTAAATACAAAAATTAGTAATATTAAAAAACAAAAATAATAATAACATTGAATATTAATATTTTAGAAAATAACAGTAATAACATGCTCAACAAAAACAGTAACATAGTAAAAAATAAAATAAAATAACATGGAACATTAAAAACAAAAAAATAGTAACATTTTCATATATATATATATATAAAGAAAGAGAGAGAGAGAGAGAGAGAGTATCAATTGTTCTTTGAATTAAAATTTCAAATTTATGTAAAAAAACTTATTGGTATATCTTCATTGATAGTGTATTAAGAGATAATAATTCTCAAGTTAGAAAATTAATTTAAAATTGCTTTTAAGGAAGCGTATTTTTGAGTTTTAAAAAAAATAATGGACTTAACTATTTATTAGTAAGATTTAAAACAGACTTATCCTTAAATAAGTTTTTTTAACAAACTAAACACATTTTAAATCCCTTGAAGAAGACTCAACCCAAATTTTCATTTTTATCAATCGATTGTCTAGTTTAAACAGTAAGATTTCAGTATCGAAGAAGACATTATATAAAAATTATATTTTTTGGGGTCTAATTTATAATTTTTAGGAATCAAATAATAATGAAATTGATGTCAACTAAAAAGATCAATTCTAAAATGTGATCATAAGAAAAGTTGAGATTAGTTCTAATATGTACGGACCGATCCCAAACAAATTCATTTTGGTTTAGCTTCACCAAATTAAGTTATAACCACATTCCTTATTTTCTCATAAATTCAAAACAATATCCAAAAAAAAAAAAAAAAAAACTTTTCAAGCATCGTATGATTACCTTACCTTTCACGACGACAATGAAGTAAAATTATTATTCCTCGAAATGGGAATACAATAACATTATTAATTCCAAAAGTATAGAGTAACTTCTTTTTTTTTTGTACGGTACTACATTGATAGAGTAGATCTATCCTAATCTATTACCATCCGTCGGTAAAATTTCCCTTTGCCAAGGAGAAGACACGGGTTTGATTCCCGTTATCCGCAACACTAAAAAAGTAGCATTATTATGTTTATATCTAACCTCTTCTTAAAATGTGGGGATTTTAGGATTTGGAAATAAAATAGCAAGAAAAGATAATTCATTTAGGAGAATATCGAAAACCCTTTACAAAAAACAGAAACACTGCAACATTTTCCAAGCAGTTGTTTCAATTTGTACCTTGACAAAACAAAACAAAGCAAAACAAAAGAAAAGAAAGAAAATATTTGCAAAATCAGATAAGAAGGTGAAAATATTGATACTATTCAATTTTGCCACATCTTTTGTTTAAGTTCCTTCTCGATTCTGTAACAATCTGAAGTTTTGAAATCCAACTGCTACTAAAGCTTCATAGATGGTGGTGAAGTTAAATGAGTCAATGATGAAGAGGAAGGGGTGTGACATTTTTGTTTACTACATCTCGTTGCAGAACCTGGAGGGAGAGGGTTAGAAGAAGAAAAGAACCTAGTTGAATGGCTTCTCAGCTTTTTCTTCTCATAAACTCTATCTTCTGATGTTATATGACGTACAGTTGTCTCATTTAAACCCACTGGGAGAACGCAGTTGCAGAGGAAACCTTCAATATTCATCACAAAAACACATTACTTCAACAATTAAAGTATATAACTTAAAATTGTATTCATAATTCCAAATTGAATTCTCTGGTTAGATTTAGGTCTCTAATAAAAACCTGTCATCCATTAAAAACTTTTCAAACAATGTTAGCCAAACAGATTTCAGCTTCCTACCCACTTTTGTCACTATAGTTTTTTTTTTTTTAATGTAGTTTTCAAGTTGCAAGCACCTTTCTTAGGTTGAGTGCTTGTTGAGTAAGGCTGACTTTCTTCACATGTTTGAGCTCATTTTTCTCATATCGATCAAGGTGAAACTTGAGTTTTCAATAAGGGACAACCAATGTCATTGATTTTTAGCCGTAGGTCACAGGTTGGTTTCAAATCAATTGAATTCAGCCACCCAGAACCAAGGTCTGTGTTAGATAATCCGTAAATTTCAGACTTCATTATCACGGACTACCTAATTTTGATGATTTGAGACTCAATGGACCACCTAAATATGTGTATATTTTGACGTATGGGCATAGCAAACTTCCTATACATTGGTGGAACTGCTTTTGGTCAACCCTAATCTTTTCTTGATTTCGTGAATAGTACCAAGAAAATCATAATCAATGAACCCTATTCTCAACTCCACTTTCCCACACCCACCCAGAAGATAAAGGAAAAGCAAAGCACAGGGTGATTCCTCAACCTCTTCCACTTATGCCCAACGAAAGGTTTGGATTAATTAAATGATGGGTAAGAAGCAAGGATCCTGAAGATTATAAACAAATAGAAAACCACCCTAAAAGAAAAGAAAAGAAAAGAAAACCACCCTAAAGCACAGCGTGACTCTTCAACCTCTTCCACTTATGTCCAACAACAGGTTTGGATTAATTAAATGTTGGGTAAGAAGCAAGGATCCTGAAGATTATAAACAAATAGAACATTACAGAAAATATCAATGCCCATTATTTCTAACTGAAGTTGTTCGTAACTTTTGTGGCAAGTTAAAGGAGCTCTTATGAAATTCAAGAAACTTCGGAACCCACCAACATGGTTCTGAAATAAATACTGCATTCATGGCTTCAAGTGGGTGGAGCTACGAGGTGTAAACCATAAAAGCCACAATTGAAAAGCAAGAAAATGTATGTAATATATTACTAGCGTTTTGACCAAGTTCTTACCAAGTCGAGCAAGTCGATTGATCCAGCTAGGTATTGGCTTCCCTGTTAGCTGGAGACAAGCATCATTGCAGAAGTGATTGCAGTTCTTAGTGATGAGATTGTAGGTGTTTCCTGAGTACCCCTCTGCCAATTTTTCCATGAAAGTGCGGACTTCTTTTGGACCCATATCAGTTTTTCCTATCAAGATCGATTTTCTGAATGTGAAACCTGGACATTGCTTTGGTTCCACTTCAAATATCCCTGTTGTTGGATGCTCATGTGCACCAAAAGCGTACTCCACTCCATGAACTACCAAAGTGAAAATTGAAGAAAGTATTTTGAGATATCCAAAGTTTGGCATAAAAAACACAAAAACTAACAGGTTTTCATAGATTTGATTTCTGATCAGTTTCCTCTTGTTTGCTTACAGAGAAAATGTAGAATTGCTAATGGAAATCACTATGTAAACATCCCAGATTTCACTCCAGTCATGATTTACTAGGCTACAGTAGGATCTTATAGCAGGGTAATGAAAGAAAATGCGTAAAATGGCTTCTTTTCTACATGAGTTTTAAGCACTTTCTTTCATTGACCTACGTTTTCTGACATTCAAATAGAACACAGGTCATTACAGTTTTAATTGAGTTTGCGCCAATCCTAACTGATTCCAATAGACTCTATAAAATACTTAGTTCAACGCAAGTATTCCAAATTTTACTTTAGCAAAGCAAGTCACCAGAGCAAATTCATCAAAATAACATGTTGGGAAATTAGATGTTCCTGTTTTCCGGCAGGGAAAACCTAGTGAAGAAAAAGGAGTTCAAAACTTCAAATTAGATGTTCCGTATCCAAACTCTGTGGCTAGGCTGTGCTCTTTGGACATTTCAAACTTAGTGAACTAAAACATCTAAGTAGCTAAAGGAAGGGAAATCAACCTAGACCCAATTAGTAGCAGCGAGCAAAAGCGGATTGGGGGTTTGAAGAAAAACAAACACGAAGCTTTGTTCCTCAACAAAGTGTTCACTTCTTTTTTCTCAGGTTTCATTTGATTTGTTGTGGATTGGGTGCAGGGCCAGCCCAACAGTGGAGGAAATGCAGCGGTGGCTTTAGGCTCCAAAATTTAAAAAGTCTACAAATATAGGCCAGATCAATTTTAGAAAAGACATAGTAGAAAAACTTCAATATGATAACTAAACAATTAATTTGCATTTGAAAAGGCAAAAAAAAAAATAAACATTAAAAAATTTACACTATTATTAAAAGAAATATAAAAAAAAACTTACTTAAATTTACAGCTTTAGGCCCCAAAACATATCAAGCCGCCCCTGATTGGATGATGGAAAAACCAGTAAGCCTCTTTACTAGGAAGTAAAGGGCACAGTGAATTGCAATTGTGAAAATGTTGGAAGATCTGGCCAAAGAAGATAATAGCCGGTAGATTCATTCCCATGGTTCAATCCTTTCTAGTAAAACGCGGCGTGTATGAATTCTAATCCTTTTACGCTAGAAAAGGGACTACCCTCTAAGCCTAAGTATTCCTCCATGACCAATAGCGTACACGTACCATGAGGGAAAGGTGAAAAAAACCCTATTTACGAGTGCAATAGAGAACCTGAGATCCAATGCGAACAATCAGTCGATGGAGTGGAGCTTTAGAGCCTTTACTCTATAAAACTTCAAATGCCACATTTCCCATTACTCTGCTCAGTCAGTTTGTTCAAATTTGTTTCATTTAATCTTATTTTAGTCGAAGAAAAGTATCAGCACAAATTACAAAATATTGTTTTCTTCCATTTTCCCCCGTTTTTCTCAGCAACCAGAGAATGGAAGCTCTATTACCCATTCAAGTCTGCGGAACATAAATGAATTTCAAACCAACAAAGAATGAAAAAAACCAGCAACTCACATGTAATAAAGCAAAACCCATCCAGAGCAGTTTATTTTCTTCCAAACTAAGTTTACTTTCAATGTTTTCAACTATCATTTCTTGCCTCAATTTTTTCAGCAACCAAACAGATAATTAAAACTCTAATCTCATTCACGTTACACAAAAGCAAAACTCATCCAAAACAAAGTGGGTTGTTGCAAAAACAATCTATTTTTTAACACAGGATAATAATATTGAAATACACATTCAAAAATTTTTTTTTTTTTTCAACTTTCACGCCCTTCCCTCATATTTTCTTAGGAACCAAACGGCTCACAACACTATTTATAGACCAAGATAAGAATTAAAAAGCAGAGGTACCTTGAACACCGGAGTGGTAAACACCAAGGCCGACCCAGTAAGCGTAGCCATTAATGGGAGTCAGATCGTATACGTTCAGGTACACCGGTACTTTCCCAGTCTTCCTCTTCCTCGGAATCATTCTACACAACATTCTCTAATCTTTTTCCCAAAACACACCCACCTCTCTCTCTCTCTCTCTCTCTCTCTGTGGTCAAACAGAATGATTAAAGAAAATCAGGGAATTTCAGGAGCATATTGGGATTCGGAAATAGGAATTCTTTATTTCTTTGGAATCAGAATTGGAACACCCTTTTGAATTTTCTATCATTTGTTTTTATGGTAATGAATAACAATACATTGAAAGGAAAGAGGGATTTGAAAAATCAAAAAGCTTGGGAAGTGCCGGCGACTGAAAGTGCCAAGCACCGTCGCTTATCCACGGGGAACACCAATGATGGCATGTACTAAGCATTGTCTAACAAAATGCCCTTGCTGTCTGCGAAAACGACAACAACTGCCATTTTTCCCAAAGTTGACCCATCGATTTATTCGAGTCAAAAACCTTATGTCCACAGCTTAATGCTTTTATTATTTATAATTTTATTATTTTGGAGGACTTGATTTTTTTTTGGGGGGTTCACACCGGTAAATTTTATTATTTTAATTAATTTTTTTATAATTTATGTGCATCATTTTAAAACAAAAAATTTAATATTTTTCTAAGTGCTGTGGATCTTAAACCTAATTATCATAATAATAATAAAATATATCCACAAAAATAATAAATATCTATATGGTACCGATTTTTTTTTTGTTACCGTCGTCGGCAAGTCCCTCTTTGGATAATGTAATAATATTCATATTAATGTGTATTACATTCTTTCTTAAAAAGTGCCAGAGATATATAAAGATCAAATGTACGGAATTTTATTTTTGTATGTTAAAAAATTATTTCTGTGAATTGTACTGTTGAGACACGGGTTACAATAGAATAGCATTATTGTTGTTGCACCAAGTCCAATCATATACTATGAGACTTAATATATATCTCATGATTATTTGAAATAAATGAACTTAATTTTGGAAAGAAAAAAATGAATTTGTGTAAATATATTGATTTTGAAAATGAACTTACTTCCAGGAAAGAGTGAAGAGCCAAGATTTAGATCAGGTTTGGACTCAATTCATAGATTAAGCTCAAATCATTAAAAGACATGTTAAACTCAGTTAATAGCTATAACTTAATTCAAAACTCAATAGTCCAAGAAGATCAACGCACGTGGGGAGTAAATATCGGGATAATCATTACTCGAAAATAACACATTTTCTTAATTATAGCTATCTTCCTCGAAAGACTAATAATTTAATCTTCACGTTACCGCCTTAACTAAAGTTTTGTGCCTATAAATTACAAGCACTCTACACATGAGGGAGAGACGATAATCTCTCACACAGAGATTACACACACCTCACCTTGAACGTATTCTTATTCTCTCTCCCCGCACTTTGAGCTTACTCATGTTCTCTCTCACCTACTATTTTATTCTCTCATTAATAAAGTTTTTCGGCCAATTTATGTCTCTTATTGTTAACTACTTCATTAATTGCATCACATCACACTCGACTGATTTAATTGTACATAAATCCACTTTATTGCATCATCAATGAACTTTAATAGAATTTGTATTCCCTTTTTAGGTTAACATGATATGAGATTGTAAAGTGTTTAAAATATCTATCAAAATTAAAATTTTGATTACAATAATAATCTTACATCTGATTTGTATTGCGTTGAATTGACTAGCTCAATATGATAATCTAGAAATTTAAAATTACAATTCTCATTTCCAACTTAAATTATTGCTTTTTTTTTTTTTCAAAAGATAGTAGAAACTTAAAGTCAATGGTGGTATTTTCTTAAAAAGGAAAAAGGGAAAGTGAGTTAGTGGGTGGATTCGGATAAGTTGATGGATCGAGTCTAAAATTGTCAATTGTGATGGTGAGAGGTAAACCAAGGTTAAAATGTTAGAAGATAAGCCTCGGCGAGACACTATGTTAAGTCTGTCCTCGTGTAATTAAGGGATCTTAGGTTCGATATTTTTTACACTCTTTGAGGGTCAGTCTTTTTTTTGTTCTTTAGGGAACATGTTCTTAAAATAATTCGAATTATGGTGGCTGATTTCAGAGTTTGATAGAATAATTGACACAAACCTAAATACCCTATAGCCAAAAAAAAAGTTAGAACATAGCCTAGTGGGATGATGGAATGAGATAGCATGGATGAATCTATTTATTATATGGCAATCATGTTTTGAGAAGAGGCTTCACAAGACTTTCTTCTCACTTTTTTTTTATTTATAAAATTTTGAATTATTTGAATACAAGTAAAAAATTGTATCCAGTTACATTCCACCAGACACCAACAATCCTAAATAACTACCTATAAACTCATTCATATTCCATCTAGATACACCTCCTTTTGCGTTTGCAACTTTTGGAAGTTGGGTTCGGATGCAGATTTCCAACCGTCAAGATGCACGACTCATTTTGTCCATTTTTGCTTTTAATTGTTCTGAATCTTTCACCATTCACACATTCACCACCTCAAATATTAAAATTGTCTATTTACCTGTAAAATTAGCAAACACTACCAAAGAGAGATAAAATCTAAAACTTAATCAATTATGCATAATTACCTGTCTTGCCCTACATATTTAGCCAAATTATCTTATAATAAACAAGCATAATTTATGGCTAATCACACNTTCACCACCTCAAATATTAAAATTGTCTATTTACCTGTAAAATTAGCAAACACTACAAAAGAGAGATAAAATCTAAAACTTAATCAATTATGCATAATTACCTGTCTTGCTCTACATATTTAGCCAAATTATCTTATAATAAACAAGCATAATTTATGGCTAATCACTCCAATAATGATAAAAATCAATTATGGTTGATTTGGGAATTGAATGACTCTAACCAAGCAAATTGGGTGCATATTTCTCTTGCAAGATGAACAAACTGTCACAGGTTGGGGTACCTTAGACTTAAACTCATTCGATATTTATAGGAGTATACCTAGGCTTTTTAGAGTTTAGAATCTTGGTTAAAAATAGAGTGGTACACCTATATTCTAGTTAGACCTTCCAAAATTTGTGTTTGAAATTTTCTAGTNAAACTGTCACAGGTTGGGGTACCTTAGACTTAAACTCATTCGATATTTATAGGAGTGTACCTAGGCTTTTTAGAGTTTAGAATCTTGGTTAAGAATAGAGTGGTACACCTATATTCTAGTTAGACCTTCCAAAATTTGTATTTGAAATTTTCTAGATNTCATTCGATATTTATAGGAGTATACCTAGGCTTTTTAGAGTTTAGAATCTTGGTTAAAAATAGAGTGGTACACCTATATTCTAGTTAGACCTTCCAAAATTTGTGTTTGAAATTTTCTAGTTTTTTTTTTCTCATTAGTCGATTTTTTAGGTTACGTTTATATTGTGCACCTTTGAATAGGTTGTTTCCTTATCGATTGCCTATGATCACCTTTGATCATTAACGATAGTCTAGCTATCCTTTCTTTGGGTAGACCTAGTCTATATCCCTTGAATTACCGAACTAGAGTCCCATTCGAGTGCTGGATCCTTCAAAGTGTCCTTTACACATTTGTTTGGTTTACATAAACTGCTTGGGAGTTTTCCTAACTGAATCGTTTGCTAAGACAGATACCGATTCCAATTGGTGGATAATGATGTCTGCTAGATTGGACCTTTTTTTGGCTCAGTCAGGGGCACTTTGTTTATAAGGGCCCATGTATTTAATTTAATTTATATTAGATTATTATTTATTATGTTAATCTACAATGAATTAAGAATTTTAATAGACTATGCAAATGGTGATAGTAAGAATCATTGAGATATGTTGAGAAAATTGAGGTTTCGGGGTGATTACTTTTAAGAGAATAGATTTATTTAAGTTCTAAACTTAATTAGAGGAAAATAACATTAAAAATGGATTTTGAGCATTGAAATCCTATTGGATTAGTGATTTAAGTTGTTTTGGGGTTAAGATGCATATTTTGGAAAATTCGGGTAAGAAGAAAAATTAGACACTACCTCAGTGCGTAGGCCAAAATGTCTTATTCAGAACTCCAATTGACCTAATTCTTGTAGCATTAGAAAGTAGACTTCAAAAACTACAAAAGTGTATTCCAAATAAATTTCATGAATCGACTTCTAACTAGATCAAAATGGGGTTGAAAAATTGAGTTAGGTTGTAGAATCTACGAATTAGTGGCAACCTTCATGCCATAGATAGATCGTCAGAGCTTACAAACTTTATGCTCCTGACCCACTGCCACAAAGCCCTCAGGTTGATCCATGTAGATCTCTTCATCCAATTCTTTATTAAGGAATGTAGTTTTAACATCCATTTGATACAATTCAAAATCTAAATGTGCGATAATTACTAGAATCATACAAATTGAGGCAAAGCTCACACGTGGAGAGAAGGTTCCTCGTAGTTCACAACCTCTCGTTGGAGCTTACAAACATTATGCTCCTGACCCACTACCACAAATCCCAAAGGTTGCTCCATGTAGATCTTTCCATCCAATTCTCCATTAAGAAATACAGTTTTAACATCCATTTGATATAGTTCAAAATCCAAATGTGCAACAATTGCTAGAATCATATGAATCGAGGCAAAGCTCATAGGTGGAAAGAGGTTTTTTCGTAGTTCACACCCTCTTGTTGGGTATAACCTTTTGCCACTAGGCAAGCCTTATACCTTTCTAAGGATCCCACTACCTTGCGCTTAATTTTGAGAATCCATTTGTTCTAAATGGACTTGAGCCCAAGTAATAGATCAACCAAGTTCTTGACTTAATTAGCTTTCATTGACTCCATCTTTTTGTTCATTGCAACAATCCACTCATTATTAGTAGGTGATGATAGTGCTTTTTTAACATTTTTAGGTTCTACATCATCACATGGAACAATCATGAATACTTCACTTTCAATCTCGAAACAACATCAAGGAATGTTTTGATGTTTGCTTCTACGCAACTCTGTGTCGTATGGATTTATATCCTTCAAAACTGATCTACCATTGAGTATGTTGTTCCCATTATCCCAAGGAGATGACAAAACTATTTTTTCAGTCTCTATCTGACTAGTGGGTATATCTCCTTTTAGATCATCTAACTCATACAATTCTATTCCTTTAGACACATCTCATCTACTAGGAAAATCCTCTTCAACAAAAATTGCATCTCATGACTCAATTTTAGTTACCTTTCTATCAAGTTGTTCTCCTATAAACACATAGCCCTTAGAGTGTTCAAGATAATGGATAAAGATACACTTCTACCCTTTAGGATCTAATTGCCTATATTTATGAGAAGTATTGTGTAGTTAAGTCGTTGAACTCCATGGATATAAATTACTTATTTTGAGCTTCGTGCTTCTCCATAACTTATATGGGATAGAAG